AGAGGAATCTGTAGTGATGTCCCCTCTTTTCTGATGTTGGTAATTTGTGTCATTTCTCTTTCTTAGCTTAGCTAGAAGTTTATTGTTTTATTGATCCAGGTTTTAGTTTTATTGATTTTTTTAATTGATTGTTTTATTGATCCAGGTTTTAGTTTTATTGATTTTTTAAATTGATTTCCTGTTTTTAATTTCATTGATTTCTACTCCAATTTTCATTATTATTTATTTTCTTCTGCTTTGAATTTAATTTGCTCTTTGAATTTAATTTGCTCTTCTTTTTTTAGTTTCCTAAGGGGAATGCTTAGGTTATTTTGGATTGTTTTTCTTTTTGAGTATATCCATTCATGTTATAAATTTCCCTCTAAGCCTTGTTTTTGTACATCTCACAAATTTTGATAAGTTGTTTTTTATTTTCATTTAGTTCAAAATATCTTAAAATTTCTCTTGAGATTTCTATTTCTTCTTTGACTGATGTGTTATTTAGAAATGTGTTATTTAATCTCCAAATATTGTGGGATTTTCCAGCTATCTTTCTGCCATTGATTTCTGGTTTAACTCCATTGTGGTTTAAGAGCAGACATTGTATGGTTCTATTCTTTTAAATTTGTGAAAATGTGTTCTATGGCTCAGAATGTGATCTATATTGGTGAATGTTCCTTCCATGTAAACTTGAGAAGAATGTGTAATCTGCTATTCTTGGATGAAGAATTCTTTAGATATCAATCATATCCAGTTGATTGATAGTGCTGTTAATTTCAACTGTGGGCTTACTGATTTTCTGCCTGCTAGATTTGTCCATTTCTGATAGAAGAATGTTAAAGTCTCCAATTATAATAGTGGATTCATCTGTTTCTCCTTGTAGTTCTAAGAGTTTGATCTTAGGAATTTTGACACTGTCGTTAGGCACATAAACATTAAGGATTATTTTGTTTTCTTGGAGTATTGACCCCTTTGTCATTATGTAGTGCCCCTCTTTCTCCCTGATAATGTTCCTTACTCTGAAGTCTGCATTGTCTGAAATTAATATAGTTACTCCCACTTTATTTTGATTGCTGTTACCATGGTTCTCTTTCTCCATCCCATTACTTTTTATTTATATGTCTTTTTATTTAAAGTGAGTTTATTGTGAACAACACATAGTTTGGGTCTTATTTTTGATCCACTCTGACAATCTCTGTCTTTTAATTGGTATATTTAGATCCTTGACATTTAAAATGATTATTGATATAGTTGGTTTTCTATCTACCGTATCTGTTACAGTCACAGTGCAGGAGGCAAAAAGTCCTAAATTAATGTATGGGCAGAACCACACTCTCTCTGGAGGCTCTCAAAAGAATCCTTTCCTTACCTCTTCTAGCTTCTTTTGGCAGCCAGCATTTTTTGGCTTGTGGCTACAACACAACAATTTCTGCTTCTGTCTTTACATCACCTTCTCCTCTTTATGTGTGTCTTTCTTTACCTCTCTAAGGATACTTGTGATGGGATTGAGGGCCCAACTAAATAATCCAGGATAACCTCTTCATTTCAGATTCCTTAATTTAATCATCATATAAAGTATCATTCACAATTTCTAGGAATTAGGACATGGACATATCTTTGGGAGATCTTGTGGGTTGAATTGTGTCCCCCCCCAAATTTACATGTTGAGATCCTAGCTCCAAGTACTTAAGAATGTGACCTCATTTGGAAATATGATCATTGTAGATGTAATTAGTTATTATGAAGTCATACTGTAGTAGGATGGGCCCCATCCAAAATAATTGGTATCCTGATAAAAAACGGAAACTGGATACAGACATGCACCCAGGGAGAACACCATGTACAGTTTGGAGTTATGCTGCCACAACCAAGGAACACTGAAAATTGCCAGCAAACCACCAGAAACTAGGAGAGAAGCATGAAACAGATTTTCTCTCATATCCTTCTGGATGAACCAGTCCTGCTGACACCTTGATTTCAGATTTCTGGCCTCTAGAATTGTGAGGCAATAAATTTTTATTGTTTGAACCACCAGATTTGTGGTACTTTGACAGGGCAGCTCTAGCAAATTAATATAGGAGCCATTATCAGCCTACCACACTGTGGTTGAAATCTGCTATAGTGAATTGTTACCAAGAAATGAGGACTGGGACTACCAGAGACTTAGTTTCTCCCTGACACCCATCAGTATGCTTATGGCCTTTATGTTTATCCTTACTCCTCTCTTTACTTAACAGATGAGGCTGTTGTAATGTGATATGAAGGTTAATAGGATCCCATTAACACCTCCTGATTTGTCTACATTCTGATATAATAGAGTGGGAGGTTGTATTTAATAAGAACAGTTTGTTAACATTTTAGACCACAATCAAGAATCAAATATGGGTTTTCACAAATGTCTCTAGTAAGAGACTTAGTACACACAAAGGATCCATTGAAAGAATAAAATCAAGGCATTTCCCTTTGTGTATTTTGCCAAATATCTCCAACCTGGAGTAAACCTGGGACCAGTTTGCAGAAATAGCCCATGAATAATTTTCTAAATTCAGTGAGACCCTTATTAGCCTTTGTGGGGTCAGTTTAATAAAAAATACTTGAATATTTGCAATGTACTGGACATCATGCTAGATACTAGTGACAGAAAGACATATAAGGACATCGAAGTGTTCACTGTCTTGTAGGGGAGTCAGGCACATAAAAATGTAATTACATTGTAATATGATAAGGGTAATAATATAAACATAGTATTTGCAAGTACTGAGAGATCTGGTAGACATTAAGGAAAGTTCCATGGAGATGATTCTTTAACAGGTTTTGACAGATAAAGAGAAATTTGTGGGACAGAAAAGGTGGAGAACATAGGAGAACAGAAAATACAAAAGAATGAAAAAACATGGTATATTCAAAGAAACTACAAGTAGCTTGATGTTGATAGAACACAAATTGTAGAGAGCAGCAGGAGATGAAACTGCAGAAGTTAACAGACAGTTTCTGGGGAAACTGATGTGTTGCTGCTGTTTTAGATCACTGTAACAGTCAAGGTGCATGTGGATACATGTTACTGTTACTTTTCCTCTGCTTGCCTGTGTTTTTTTAATTAGACCTCTCTATTCAGTGGACAACATTCCAAAGAGTATCTCTTATGGTTAAAAAGCAAATATCCAAAATTTAAGGAATTTCCCATTTGCCTGGTTTTATTTCAAAACTCTCCAAATTAGACACAAAGAAAATCAGCTGAATATGTCAACAAATTAGGGAAATAATTTTTTTTCTGTATTAAATTAAGGTGGCAAAGCAGAATTAGTATACTCTACAAGCTTCTGGTTTTTTCAAGAGATCTGCCAAACCATTGAGTCTTTGCCTATTTCTTTACCACCCTGTAACCTCTTGTTAAGGCCCTGGGTACTTAAGCTTTGATAGTTTCTTTAAAACAAAAATATATTGCTACATTTTGGAATTATTTGTGGGTGAATGAGTGAGTGTGTTTGGAGACGGAAAGATATCTCTTTATTTTCCTTTGAGGACTTTAATGATACCCCAACTAAGTGGCTACATTTGGAAAATAGAATACTAAAAGGTCTACCATTGGGCAAGAGCTGTGGAGAAATCAATTAGCCATGTAACTGACACAAAACCAAGCCCTGCTGAATAGCTGCTGGGATCTCTCTGCTCCTAGGCCCTGGTCCTTTAAAGTTTGTTAAGCATGTAATCCATCCAAGTAAGTAGCTGCCATCTAAAGAAAGATAGTGGATATTGTTGTAAATTCTTAAATATAGTTCCCAAGAGTGCCCTGTAGTTTAATAAAGAGCCAGCCATTGGGTATTGAGGGAGAGAGGCAGCGAGGAATAAGAAAAGATGTGGCTCAAACTAAAAACTCCACACCTTAGTAAAGAGGTGTGGAGTAAAGAGCAGCCTCTTAAGGTCCCTCACTCCTCCCATTTTGCCCTTCCAAAAACCCAAACATTATATAACCATTGTTTTTAAGGAACCCTGGGCAATAGGTAATGATGAGATGGAATAATTTATTTGATATACTATGTGAAAATAAAATTGGAATTCTGCATTTGTTGAATGGAATTAAACTGATAAATGCTCATGAAGTTATAGAATGAGATACTTTCTTATGTATTTCACTTTCTAAGTTCCTTAAATAGAAAAAGAGGAAAAGTCTATATATCTTGAAAATCATTATTGGTTAGGAATGGTTTCAGCTACAAGTAACTAACAATAGCTTAAAACTTTGTGAATCCCTATAACACAAGAATTAAGACTCTTTGAGCAGCTAAACTAGAGGACCTAGGTTCTTTCTATCTCTCTGCTTTGCCATTTTTAGCTTTTACCTTTTAGTTTCAAGTTAGTTTCCTGACAAAGGATGAGGAAGAAAAATGGGTGAGCACCAAGGACTTTCCTTCTCTAGCTTTCTCTTTTATAAGGAAACAAAAGCTTCCCCAGAAGTACAGTCTTCTACTCTAAACCCCACTGTATTTCTGTGTCGTCCTGAACTGTGTGACAGATTTAATGTTAGCTGCATGGGAGGTTGGGAAAGTGAGTATCTGGTGTTTTGGTCTTTATAGTAGGAGGGTTGGGTATGGGAGTTGGGTTAAAAAACCAATAGTGCCTTCATCAGACCTATTGCCTCTTCCCTTTCTCTACCCTGCTACCATCCCCTCCTCTCAAGTAATCCAGCACACAAGACATTAATTAACAACAATCTTTTCAGGACCAGAAAGGCCTGATAAGCCATTCAGATTTCTAGTTTTAAAGTCATTTGACACAGAATTTAGTTTATGGCCTTACTGAAGAAAGTCACAAGACAATATCGTTAAAAAGAGAAAGAAGGATTCTGGGAAGGTGATGGAGTAAGAAGCATCAGGGATCTGTCTCCCCACTTAGACAACAATTGTACTGGCTGAGTCTGTCTAACATAACCATTTTGGAACTCGAGTCTATTGAAGGCTTGCAACATTCAGGGGAAGTACTGGAGGATAAATTGTGGTTAATTTAAGTCAATTTCTGTTCAGGACAGGAGCAGCTAACCATCCGCATCCTGCATCCTCAGCCAGTTGCCAAGTAGCTGTGCATATGTTCCTGGAGCACCTTGTACACAGTGGGTAGGAGCTATGACGGGCAAAAAAGACCCTGTTCTCCAGATATCAGGGATCTGTTTTCTGATTGTTACTTCTGATCACAGAGGTATAGACAAAGAGGTGGGTAGCCTCTTTGTTGCTTCTCCATCCCTCTCATTGTTATAAGTCCTCCACCTCTCGGCGATGTACTTCTAGAGGATTTAAAGGAGCTGCACTTTTTTCTCCCCTTTATTTTTACTTTTTACCCTTTCATGAGCCAGACATTAAAGACTAGGACATTCAAAAACAATTGCATATATGGAGAAAATTAGAAAGTGACTGCACATGTTCAGGGAAAGGCTCAGTAAAAACCTAAGAAGATACTGCATGTACACCTCAGACAGATCTTTGGCACAGAGATACCCTACAACAATCAAAAATCCAAAAACAATAAGAAAAATCAACAAACCCTAGAGAAGGGGGAGAATGTGATTTTCAAAGTTATGACTTTATTAGATTCAAATGACTACTGTTCAATAAAAAAATCACAAGGCATACAAAGAAATAGCAAAGTATGACCATTCAAAGGAAAAAAATAAATCACTGTCATGAAAAGACCTGGTGGCAGATCTACTAGACAAAGACTTTAAAGCAGTTGTCTTAAAGATGATCAAAGAACTAAAGGAAGATGTAGAGAAAATCAAGAGAACAATGTATGAACACAGTGGAAATATCAACAAGAAAATAGAAAACCTAAAAAGAAACCAAAAAAATTCTGGACCTGAAGAGTACAATAATTGAAATGAAAAAAATCTACTAGAGGGATTCAGAGGCAGATTTGAGCAGGCAAAAGAAAGAATCAGCAAACTTGAAGGTAAGAGAATGGAAATTATTGCATGAGGCACAGAAAATAAAAATCTTTGGAGTCCAGAAGACCATGGGCCAATGTATGCAAAGTGTTAAAATAAAAAACTGCCAACCAAGAATACTGTTTCCAGCAAAACTGTCCTTCAGAAGTGAGGGAGAAATTAAGATGTTCCCAGATAAACGAAAGCGGAGGGAGTTCATGACCACTAGTCCTGCCCTACAAGAGAGTCCTGAAAGGTGAAATGAAAGAATGCTAGACAGTAACTCAACACTATAGGGAGAAATAAAAATCTCAAAAAAAGTAAATACATGGGAAACTATAAAGCTAGTATTATTGTAAGAATGGTTTGTAACTACACTTTTTGCTTTCTATATGATTTAAGAGACTAATACTTTTTTTTAATGAGTGTAAAAGCTAGCATTACTCTAATTTTGGTTTGTAACTCCAAATCTCGTTTTCACCATAACTTAAGAGACTAATGTATTTAAAAGATTATTAGTTTATGTATTGGGGCCCATAATGTATAAAGATATAATTTTGGTTTTCTAATCAACAACCAAAAGAAACAGAGGTGGACAGAGAACTGTAAAGGAGCAGAGTTTTTATATATTATCGAAGTTAAACTAGTATAAATTCAAATTAGAGTATTGTAACTTTAGGTTGTTAAATGTAATCCCCATGGTAGCCACAAAGAAACTAGCTACAAAATATACACAAAAGGAAATGAGAAAGAAATTTAAACATTTTGCTATAAAAAATCAACGAAACATAAAAGAAGACAGTAATGCAGGAAATGAGGGACAAAAAAAGCTGTATAGCATGTAGAAGACAGCACGATGACAGAAATGTTCCCTCCTTATCAGTAATTACTTTAAATGTCAGTGGATTAAACTCTTCAATCAAAAGACAGAGTGGATAAAAACGTGATCAAACTGTATGCTGTCTCCAAGAGACTCACTTGAGATCCAAAGACACAAACAGGTTGAAAGTGAAAAGATGAGAAAAGATGTTCTATGCAAATAGTAATCAAAAGATAGTAGTGGCAGCTATATTAGTATCAGAAAAAATAAATTTTGGTTCAAAATAGGTAACAAGAGACAAGGACATTATATATTAATAAAAGTTTCAAGACAGCAAAAGGATATAACAGTTATAAACATTTACACATCTAATGACAGACTATCCAAAAAAAAGAACAAAAATGACAAAATTGAAGAGAGAAATAGACAGTTGGCGACTTTAATACCGTACTCACAATAATGGTTAGAAAGACTAGACAAAATAAGTAAGGAGATAGAGGATTTAACACAATAAACCAACTAGATCTACCAGATATATATATATGTGTATATATATATAAAAAACACTCCACAACAATAGCATACACATTTTTCACAAGTGCACAAGGGGACATTTTCCAGGATACACCATATATTAGACTGCAAATTAAGTCTCAATAGATTTTAAAAGATAGATAATGGTACCAAGTGTCTTCTCTGACCATAGTGAGATGAAGGTTATAAATCAACAGCAAAAAAATTGAAAAATTCACAAAATTGTGGAAATTAAACAATATACTCTTAAACAATGGATTAAAGAAGAAATCACAAGGGAAATTAGAAAATACTTACAGATGAATGAAAACAGAAACAACATGCCGACACCAATGGGACACAGTGAGAGCAGTGCTAAGGGAGAAATTTATAGCTATAAATGCTTACATTAAAAAAAAAAATTTTAAATCAACAACCTAACTTTACAACTTAAGGAACTGGAAAAAGAACAAACTAAATCCTAAGCCAGCAGAAAGAAGGAAATAAAGATTAGAGGAGATTTAAATGAAATAGAGACTAAAAAAACAATAGCAAAAATCAGTGAAACTAAAAATTGGTTCTTTGAAGAGATTAACAAAATTGACAGACTTTTAAAAAGCTAGATGGATGAAGGAAAAACGACTCAAATTACTAAAATCAAATTAAAGTAGGGACATTACTACTGGTTCTACAGAAACAAAAAGGATCATATGAGAGTACAATGGACAATTGTACAACAAATCGAATAACCTAGATGAAATAGACAGGTTCCTAGAAACATAAAACCTACTAAGACTAACTCATGAAAAAAAGAAAGTCTGAATATACATATAACTAGTAAGGAGATTGAATCAGCAATCAAAAATCTCTCATCAAAGTTAACTCCTAGACCTGATAGCTTTATTGATGAATTTTACTACACATTTCAAGAAGAATTATATCAATCCTTCTCAAACTTTTCAAAAAAATTGAAACGGAGGGAACACTTGCTAACTCAACATGAGGCCAAAGCCAGATAAAGACACTACAAGAAAACTACAGACCAATATCTCTTATGACAACTGATGGAAAAATCTTCAACAAAATACTAGCAAACAGAATTTAGCAGCATTTATACAGCATAATTATACACCATGACCAAATGGTATTTATTCCTGGAATGCAAGATTATTTCAATATGTGGAAATTGATCAGTGTGATACACACATTAACAAAACATAGGGAGACAAAAAGACATGATCCTATCAATTGATGCAGAAAAAAGCATTTGACAAAATTCAATACGCTTTATATTATAAAAACACTCTATTCAATGGGAATACAAGGAAACTACCTCAACATAATAAAAGCCCTGTATGAAAAATCTATAGCATGCATCAGAAAGACAAAACTTTTCTTCTGAGATCAGGAACAAGTCAAGGATTCCTGCTTTCACTACTTATATTCAACATAGTACTGGGAGTTCTCATCAGATCGATTAGGCAAGAAAAAGAAGTAAAAGGCACCCATATTGGAAAAGGAGAACTAACATTATCTCTGTTCACAGATGATATGAATTTATATGTAGAAAACTCTAAAGATTCCCCAAAAATCCTATTAGAATTAATAGATGAATTAAGCAAAGTGGCAGAATACAAAGTCAACACATAAAAACCACTTGCATTTCTATACATGAACATCTGAAAAGGAAATTACAAAAAACAATTCCATTTATACTAGCATCAAAAGGAATAAAATACTTAGGAATTAATGTAGGAGGTAAAAGACTCATACAATGGAAACTACAAAACACTAGTGAAAAAAATGAAGATATAAATAAATAGAAACACATTCCACTTTCATGGATTAGAAGACTTAATATTATTAAAATGTCAATATTATCCAAAGTGATCTAGAGATTCAAAGCAATCTATATCAAAACCCCAATGACATTTTTTGCATTAATTTAAAAAAACATCTTAAAATTCGTATGGAATCTTAGGGGAACCCAAATAGCCAAAATAACCTTGAAAAAAGAATAAAACTTCCTGATTTCAAAACTTACTACAAAGCTACAGTAATCAAAACAGTGTAGTCTTGGCATACAGAAAGACATTTAGATCAATGGAATAGAATAGAGATTCCAGAAATTAACCCTCATATATGTGATCAAGTCATTTTTGACAAAGGTGACAAGACCATTAAATGGAGAAAGGACAGTCTTTTCAACAAATAGTGCTGGGAAAACTGGATCTCCATATGCAAAAGAATAAAGTTGGACCCTTTAACACCATACACAAAAATTAACTCAAACCGGATCGAGGATCTAAATGTAAGACCTAAGACAATAAAACTCTTAAAAGAAAATATAAGACAAAAGCTTCATAACATTGGATATGACACCAAAGTTGCAAGGTAAGAAAAGAAAAAATAGATAAATTTAACTTTATTAAAAAATTAAAAATTTTGTGCATAAAAAGACAGAGTAGGAAGGCTACCCTACTCTGGAGAAAATTTTGCAAATCATATATCTGATAAGGGACTCATATCTAGAATATATAGAGAACTTCTAAAACTCAACAACAAAAAAACAACCTGATTCAAAAATGGGCAAGTAGATATTTCTTGAAAGAAGATATTCAGATGGCCAAAAAGCACATGAAAAGATGCTCAACATCACTAATCATTAGGGAAATGCAAATCAAAGCTATAATTAGATACCACTTTATACCCATTAGGATGGCTACTATTAAAAAAAAAAAAAGAAAACAATCATTAGAGAAGATGTAGAGAAATTGGAACCCTTATGCGCTGTTGGTGGGCGTGTAAAATGGTACAGCTAATGTGGAAAACAGTATGGTGGTTCCTCAAAAATTAAAAACAGAATTAGCATATGATCCAGCAATTTCACTTCTGGGTATATAACCAAAAGAATTGAAAGCAGGGTCTTGAAGAGGTATTTGTATGCCCACATTCATAGC